GTAGGGACCATTCCTGTGGGTCCAGGTGCTGCAAGCTAAGGTAGTCCGCCTACCACTTTGCTATGCCTAGGATGTAAATGATGGAGGCAAGGCTGGAAAAAAAGCTCTGCCAAGAAAATAATATTTTCTACCTCTATTGCCATGGCAAGACTTCAGGATCCTCTCTGGTGGCTGATGTATGCCACTGGTGGCTGATGTGTGAACTATAGCCATTGTCTGACTGAATCCTGATTGGATGAACCACCAGTAGGATGTCAAGCAGTGCAGGGACAAACAAATCCCAGAATACTGATAGGAAGACAATTCCAGATAGATATCGGAAGGAAAAACTTGCCTGTCTCTTCGGATCGATGGTGGAGGCTGCTGCCTAAGTGAACTCAGCCTTATAGAAATGGTAGCCTGTAAAGTTGCTATGCCCTTCTGATGACAGTCAGATTACAGAATAATAAAATGATTATCTTTGTCAGCTATAAATTTAGGTGCCATGAAATGTAGCATTACATGACTGTTATCCCTATAACCCTTGGTTTAAGCTGTCAAACTATAAAACCGATGCAAACAAGTAGACAACATAGAAGAACTTTTTAAAAAAGAGTTTAAAAAGAACTGTAAGACAACATGTACAAGCTAGTTTATTTTAGCTATAGCAGAAAGAAGGCCAGAGGATGAAATACTTCAGTAAAAAGTACTAATGGAGTAAAAACAATCAGCAACAAGAGTATTGGTGTGATACCCAATAAAATGTGGACTGAAACTATATTTAGCCCTAGAGGCTCTCAATGACTGCAAACCTCTCTAGGGTTAGCACATAAGAACAAACTAACCACTTTACTCACGTTTTACAGTACCTTAGCCATCACAGATATTTTTCCAGTCCTCATTTAAGCCACAGCTGTGAATCTATGTATTTCGAATCAGAAACCCAACATTGACTTTGTGGCCTATACATTGGTGGGGATATTGCCTCGTGGCTAAATAAGCAATCAAATGAGAACCAAGCTTCCTATTCTACACCTTCCTCCCCAGGCCAACAGCTATCTTGCGAGCAGTTTGAGCCCAATAAAGCAAGGAAAACGGACTCAGGTGGCTGCAGTTCAATACATAAACCATGCATACATAGTCAATAGGGTAAGTTGTGTTTAACTACACATCAAAATAGGGAAGAAGCATGTTCTCCATTGACTGTCAGTTACTTTTAGATTCAATGGTTGCACCATATCGAAAATGGTTGACTTTGTGGGATTTTAACTCAATATAGTCTTCATAATCTACAGAGAATGGTGTTAAAAAAAATTCAAAGAGTATTGGTTTTGTGATAACACCTTGTTAATGAAAAGTTCAAAGGAGAATGACCAGGCAGGTTGAGTGCTGGTGCAGACCTGGGCGATCTGGGACGTGCGTCCTGGGACCGAGCGATCGTATGCAGTTGCACACAGCGGTTGCTGCGCAGCCCCATTGATTTCAATGGGGTTACATCTGCGCAGCGACTGCAAGAAAAATGGTACATGTACCTTTTATTAGCAAAACATGATGTAATGGGAATGGCGCAAGCCGCCCAGGGCGACTGGGGCTCCATTAGAAAATAATGGCACCGCCAGCGCGAACGGCAGAGGAGGGCGATTCCATGACCGCGTGGCAATCCCCGTGGTCACGGATCGCCATAGTGTGAACCTGGCCTTAAACTGCTGGAAAACCCACAACTGTTGAAATCAGCACACACAGTAGCATGCAGGAAGCCATTTCGGAATGTACATTACATGGAACTTTGAAGAGAATGGCCTATAGCAGTAGAAGACTATAGCGGGTTCCACTCTGGTTATTTAAGAACAGGAAGGAAGGCTACAGCAGGAACAGGACCCCCAAATATTGGACAACTGAAGACTGGCCTGGTCTAAAAAATCTTGTTATGACATCCACATGGTAGGGTCAGAAATAGGCACACGCAAAATCATTCTGTAGATTCAACCTCCCTTCCATCAAAGCTTTATACTGGTTGTGGTGTAATGGTGAAGGGAATGTGTTCCCTTCAAAATAAATGAGTGCAAATGGGAACGTGACCTTGGGTCAGCACCATCACTGGAGGCTTGGCACCAGATCTGGTGCCACATCATGGCCACATGCACCATCAATGTGACCTCACTGGAGACCGCTTTCAAATCCCTTACAAGATGGTATTTGGTACCCTCTAGACTAGCCCATCCTACACACTCGGCCACCTGCTTCCAGGGATGCTCGGCCCACGGGGACGTTCTCCATACATAGTGGACATGCTCCATGCTTGCCAGATTTTGGACTAAAGCGTTCCGCCTACTGAGCACTTTATTTTCTATACCAATTGCCAGGGTTACCCAAGGTTGGCCCTTCTACACCTCCAACCCTCGAATCTCAGTAGAAACCAACACGGCTTGACTACCTATGTGCTACTGGCAGCTAAGCAGGCTATCGCCTGCGCTTGGAAAAAAACATTTGTTCCATTTGCTGAAGTCAAACGGCGCGTGGACTTTTTCTTTCTAAATGAAAAGTTGACGAGTATTCTTCAGGATACCAACAAAAATCTGGCAGCCATGGATCGATTATGCACATCCCTCTTTGTCCCCAGATAGTCTGACGCCCTTCTAGTTTCTGGATCTCACTCTGCTAACTTTGGAACCTCAGTGCCTCCCTTTATCTCCTTTGACTATTTTCTTTCCTGGACGTTCGGGGGCCTTTTCCCCTTACCCCATTTCTTGGCCCTCTCTGACTGTCGATTCCTCTCCTTCTCCACTGAGATTTGCAGATTCAGATTAGCTATATTTGGCATTTGAAGAATCGCTCTGCAATTCCGTATATGTCTGTTCTCTAGCGTCATCGTCCAGTGACTAGGGGAGCCAGCTCGGAGGGCCAGACCAAACGATTAAGGCCCGCGAGCCAGACGTTCTCCACCCCTGCTATATAGGGATAGAGCAAGGCTCATACTACTAAGTCTCTGCATAAATGTATACACTGAGTGGCCAGATTATTATGACCACCTGACGTTTGTAGCAAAATTAGCTATAATTTCACGCTGAAGTTGCTAGCGGACCAGACCATTATAAATAGGAAAGCAGGTTGTTTACCACGACAGTAGAAGTGATTTGTTTCTGAAGAGATGGGTAAACAACGCAATTTAACAGCCTTTGACTGTGGGATGATTGTTGGCGCTTGGAGCCATGGAGCGAGAATCAGCAAAACAGCAGAATTCTTTAAATGTTCAAGAGCAGCTGTTGTTAAAGTGTTTAAAGACTGGACTGTCAGCCGAAAATCTGGGTCTGAACGTGCGAATTGTGGCCGTCAGCGACTAGTCAATGTTAGGGCAGAACGGAGAGTGGCAAGACTGGTACAAGACAACAGAAGGGCAACAGTGCAGTGCCAGATTCCTCGTATCACCTTTCAACATCTCGTGGAGTCACGAGGCGGCCCAAAGAAGTCATCTCGTGGCCCAACGAAGTACTGATGGGGTGGTCATAATAATCTGGCCACTCAGTGTATAGGATTAAAGGGAAAAGACGTGGGGAAAAATAAATATATTACAGAAGCCAAAGAAAAATCCTATTACTGTTCAGATTATGCAGCCATCTGTAAAATTAAAAGTTATTTTGACTTTATATTCACTATTAACTAATAATTATAGCTTCACAGTATACAGAATGGAGACAATATCTATAGATGGGATGTGGCTGGGTTCAGACCACTCAATAGAAGTAGAAAAGGAGTGCTGCAAAGACTGAACTCCCATTCATAAAGGCAGGTATCCTTTGGAACTGCAGAGCAGATTGACCTATACCTCCATTACACTCTCACCTCTACAAATTATATATATCTATCCATCTAGATATATATATATAAAAATGGGGCATTGTCAAACAGCTGAAGTACCAAATCACTAGGGAGTGTTCACAGTACATAGCAGGATAGGTACAATTTCCCCACCAAAATCTAATTTATCGGTAACTTTAACAACAGGTCACAACAGAACATTACCATCAGTCTGTAAACATTTTAAATATTGTCTCAGGCCATGCCATTAGTCAAAGACAAGGAGTGAAACAAATAGGTGTGAGACACTATACTAGATACAGCGAGATGAAAAAGAGAGGAAAGTAAGGTATAATTTATAGGTCAATATGGCAGCACTACACCTTCGGGAAATATCTGTAAAGTTGTCACCAGGTATCAAGGCACCAAAAGTAATGGGACTAGTCCAGTTGCTAGACAAGACAAGAGTTGAAATGAAACCTGCTTTTCCTTTGTTCATAAAAATGAGACTGAATTACTCACTGTATCACTTGCTAGCTACACTAGATTGTAAGCTCTCACAAGCAGGGCCCTCCTAACCCTCCTCTATTGAAATTGTATTGTAACTCGACGGCCTTCCTTCTTTTTGTGCTGTGCAAACTGTTGGCACTATATGAACCCTGTATTATAATAAGGATAAAAAGTAAGGTTGCTATCTAAGATTTACAAGTCTAGCAGGTAATAATTGTTTCCAGTGAAGGTGACAAGTTGCTTACACTACATTGAAGTGAATATCTGGGTCTGCTCTCCTAGTATGCTTGATGGATCAAGTCAATAAAAAGGTACAAAGACTTTATAACTCTTAGAAGAGTCTTGTAACAGGTAGGTGACCCCCACTCCCCTAACACACATATACACCACCCAGGATTACAGATTTTACATCTATAGTGACAACTGCTGATAAAACCTTATAATACAATCATGACATATATTGGTCATTGGTTGCAGCCAATGTGTTTCGATAATTGGAATTAACTTCACCTATCATTGTAAGTGGTATTAAGTACTCCTAAGAATGAGATCCTATAGGTTGGACTTGATGGACTAATGTCTTTATTCAACCTCAAATACTATGTAACTATGTATTCTAGGCTGCCTATTCTACACAGAGGGGTCTGCAGCAGGGAATTTTAGTTTCAGTTGCCAGAGAAGTAAACAGTTTTAGCTGGTTATCAGAGATAGCTTACCCCTTTCATCCATATTTGATTGTATATCTTTGTAATGTATTGCAGTATGAGAGTAATTGGGTTTTTTCTCCAAAAACAGTCTCTTGGTGCTGTCCTGGGAACTGGCTGGTTCCGTGAATGTGTCCTGTGTGGAGCTAGAGTCCGACAGCACAACTGCCATGCTGTCCTGGCTGCGATCTAAAAGTAAGAAAGAAACTATGAGTAAAAAATCTCCAGCTACCAAATACCCTTCACCAGCAAGCATTTAACAGAGAGCTGCATGAGCAAAGGACAGGAAAGAACAACGGAAAAGCCTTTAACATCACCTGCCATTCTAGGGCCACACACAAATTAATCATTTTGACTTACAGTAGCACAGAGTAATATTAGATCCAGAAAAAAAAACAGTAGACCTGAATAGACATGGGATACAGAATGTTAGATTAATAGTCACAGTCATGTAGCACTCTACTCCCATCAAGAAAAGCAGCATAACAACAAAACCAATCTCTAGGTCTCTACTTGTTTTAACTAACGTCTACCAAATGCCATTAAACACCACACAAAAACAGGGAACCTGCATGCACAAACTGAAACCAACCGAATTAACATTTCTAATAAAGCTATATAACCATGTCATTTTTCCTTTCACCTTCAGGCCATAAACTGTGTAATAAATGTATATGATAGAACACATGCCTGCTGCAGATCCTCTAATGCAGCGTAGGAAACAAGCAACTTGTAATAGAGGTGTACTAAAAGTCACATTTTAAGCCAGGCTGGGCAAATCACAGGAGCCAGGTAACCAATGCTCCTTAAAAAATGACAGCTGGCATACAACATTTGAGGTTCTCTCTGGTTGTTGTCGGAGCTGCTCCTGAAAAAAATCCTGCTGGCTCCTGGATTGGACAGGACGGTGTCTAAATTCCAATTCATTTTGTCCATCCCTGTTTTAAGCATGCACATAATTATTCTAAAAGTGACTGATAAATATTATTAACACTGGGCATTAAAGTGTATCTAAAAGGTAATACATAGCAGCTGAAGTCCTTAGAAGTGGTGGCTGCATTTATTTTCACCTGGTCGTCCTGCCATTCCCAAACTTACTGTCCTATAGTGACAACACTTAGGCCCCGTTCACATTGCGCAATTCGCGCGTTTGTCGCGCGATTTGCATTTTGCGCGATGTCGACACACGACCCGCGACAGCAGGACCCTTTGCCCCATTGAGATGCATTGAAGAGCGATATCGCGCGGTAAATAGCTGCGATATCGCGGGAACTACCGCGCGATAAATCGCTCAATGTGAACGGGGCCTTACTCACGCTAGTGTATCTATCGAAGAGCAGCGTTGACACCCTAAAAAGGTTGTGTGTTGGAAGTACAGAGCACCTACCCTTCTCTTGGTCTCTATAGGAGGCAGGTGTTCCATAGTTCAGAGGTGAGCTGGATAGGGCTAATAACATTGCTTCAAAAAACACAGGAACTTACGAGCTTACTGAAAAACACAGGAACTTACGAGCTTACTGAAAAACATAGGAACTTACGAGCTTACTGAATAACACAGGAACTTACGAGCTTACTGAAAAACACAGGAACTTACGAGCTTACTGAAAAACACAGGAATTTACGAGCTTACTGAAATTCTGGCAGGATCAACAGGTGTTTTTGTTAGCACTTGTTGAACAGATATAACAAAACATTTTCAATAATGTATATAACAGATTAAAAGGGAAGATTAATGTTAGAGTTCACATACATTTTAGAGCCCCTTTTAAGGAAGCATTGGTCTAGCAATGAATGTAGCAGACCTGCATCAAAATGAACATTTTCTTTCTGTTTTTATTAAAAGGCTAATTTAAACATTTTTGAATTATTGAAACTGCTAAAAAGGAAAATCAAGATAATCCTAATAAAATGCAAGATTTTTTGGCATTGTTCATCTGACATATGTAAGCGGTATATTCTGATTTTATACATTTTACATTAAATGTTCTAACTATTCTACACGCTTACATTTGGAAAAAAAATTGGTGCACCTTTAGGGTAGTAAAAAAAAACAAACGCATAACAAAGTATCTTCCAACATTTATTATTGATCTGGTATATTAAATATCAATGCACCTAACCAAAGCATTAGATCATCACAAGACAATTGATACATTGCACAGACCGTTATCTATGTTCTGCAAAACTACACAACATTAGTAATGATGTGTAGTATGCAGTAGCCAGTAGCAGTATCAGATTTCAGTTTACTCAATTCAGATGAGTAACTTATGAATTTTGATTAGTTGATATCCGTTAATGCGATGGATCTTCTACTTTGTAACGTGATGTCGCCCTGCCAGCATTGAAAGCATCTGATCTATTCCAAATTACTCATATTCTTGCCATGTACTGCATGTGACAGCCAAATACCCAGTCCAGTCCAATAACATCAATTATTCTGAAAGGGCATGCCAGGATATTTGGCAGATATGGTCCATTAAATTTAAACCTTTTTGGTGCACTTTTAATGCAAGAAAATGCAGAATTCTTAAATCTCCGGGCAAACAAAAGAAAAACGTACCCTTGCAGCTGGCCTACCTCCGAACTAAAAGGGTTATGCTTGTTTTGTCTAGGGGATTCAAATGTAGCAGATTTACTCACCTCATCCTCGGTCCCACCGGCGTCCTCCAGGTTGCTAGACCGACAGCCACAGCCTCTTCTCCCGTGGGCTCTGGCGGTCTAAGGACCGCTCATATCATCATGTCTTATTTAGGTCTATTGACTTGCATTAGACTTGAGGACGCAGAGGGACATTCCATAGCTGGAGCGGAGGGGATAAGATGCATGCAGAACAAAGGATCAGGTGAGTAATGCAGCTTTATATTTTAGCCCCCTTGACAAAACAAGCACTTAACCCTTGCAATGTGGGGGTAACCTCACTACAAGGGTACGTTTTTCTTTACTCTGAGTTCTTTTTTAAACATTGTTCTTGCTAGCTTGCTCATATGCATGTGTTATAATTAAGGGAATCTCCCTCTGACCAGCAGTTACAGTATTGGGGTAAGTATTGGAGCATTTGGGCGAGTACGAGTACTCGCCCAAATACTCGGTATTGGCACCGATACCAGTATCGGTGGATCCCTAATTATAACACATGCATATGAGCAAGCTAGCAAGAACAATGTTTAAAAAAGAACTCAGAGTAAAGAAAAACGTACCCTTGTAGTGAGGTTACCCCCGCACTGCAAGGGTTAAGTGCTTGTTTTGTCTAGGGGCAGTACCGAAAGGGAGCTTGGAGCCGGCTTCCCGCAATCAGGAAGCCGGGTGGCAGGTAATGACCCGCCTTCCAGCTTCCTGATTGGCTGGAAAGCTGGCTTCACGCTGCCTATCTACACTTTGGGGCAGCCTGGCTTTCTGACCAACCAGGAAGCCAGGCTTCCTGACCTGCTGGCCGGCTTCCTGATTGGTCAGGAATCCAGGCTGCCCCGCAGTGTAGCGAGTGAGTGTAAAGCCGGCTTTCCAGGCAATTAAAAAAGCTGGGTGGTGGGTCATAACGCGCCGCCGGGCTTCCTAATTGGTCAGGAAGCCAGGCCCACGCTACCTCGGGATGTCGGTATTGGTACTCTGCATCGGCGAGTACCGATAAAAAAATATCGCCACGGAAAAAACGGTATCGGTGCATCCCTAGTAATAATGATCTAGCAAATGCTGCATTTTTAAAAATACTGTACCAAATGCTCAAGTTTTAATGTGTTAGCACTTATCGCACTAAGCACATATATATCACACAAAGTACCTCTGAGTAACAATGTCACTTTAAAGAGAAAAGTTGTTGAAAAAAATATTCAACACAAATGTTTACCAGTGTGCAATAGAATGCAGCAAATGTAAAAAGTTTGAATTTTATGAATAGGCACAGGCACAATTGTCTATGGACCAATAGGCATTCAGCTACCAGTCTAAACCTTACCAGACTGGATTACGATGTACGTAACCAAAGAATTATAACAGATGCAGCCAAGAAGAGTTTATTCTATTCAGATTCTATATACGCTTACATTTATTATGACAACTGATACTGTGACATATCATTAAAGTGAAACTGAAGCCAAAAACTTATTGTTTTGTTTTGAATAGAGTGGAGAGGGATAAGAACACCTGTCAGGTTGTTGCTGCTGTTTGTATCCCCGTTAGAGAGATTCACCCTCTCAATTTGTCCTGTGGACCATTATCACTGAAAAAAAAAAAAAAAAACCTGGGATGTCATCAGAACAGGAATAGATGGTAAATCTTCCAATGGAGACACTAGGTCTGGTGACCCGGCTGACCACCAGGACTTACCCTCTCTTTGGAGAGTTTTCCTCTCATTTCTTGTTGTGGCTATTGGAAAGGAAGTGAGAGGAAATCTCCCCAATGGGACATAGGTAGCAACAACAAAAAAAAAACATGACATAGGTTATAACCCTACCTTACTCTATCCAAAAACAAAAAAACTAAAAAGAAAGCAATTGCTTCAGTTTAACTTTAATGTAGTTCTGTAAACTATAAAGTGTCTTTCAAGTGTGGATGTAATTCACATTTAGAAGCCATTAAATATTAATTAAAAAAAGGAAAAACAACATCACAGCTTTACCAATGCATTAGTTAAATCCAGTACAAGGGTTTCTCATTTTACACTACATTGACTTATACCAACCTACGATCTACAACACAATTTACACAGTGTGTAGTAGTAACAGACAAAAGGTGCAAACAGGATGCTTGAATGCTAAAAGAAATGAGGACACAAAGTCTAAAGGATTGTATTCTTTTTGCACAGGTTCACGAAGTTATGATACCCAATAGAGATTCACCGACATTTGATACTGCACAAAAATTCATTAAAGTTGACAGGTTCTCTTGAAAACTCAACCTTTACGCACTGATTATCACCTTCACCGTGCTCCCCCCCCCCCAACTCCGTTTCTTGGAGCCATGGGTCTAAAAAATGGGGTGGGCTATACATTTTCTCAAGGGGCCACATGAGAAACCGGGACTGTTGTGGAGGGTCGACACATTACTGTGAAGCTGTCCACATGCACAAACATAAATTGATTTAAAAAAAATCTAATGGGGGCAACTAATGTTGGGGTGCTCCAAAGGTTGCAACTAATGATTAGTTGTCCACATCAGAGTGTCCCCTTAAACTGATTGTCCCTATCACAGTGCCCCTTATTTTCGTAGTTAATGTAAGGGGGCACGCTCATGGGGGCAATTATTAGCAGTCCTAGCAACCGATGACTGCAGAGGTGGTGGACATCTGACATCAATGGTGGCTAGGACACCAGCAGTCCTAGCAACCAATTACTGCAGAGGAGGTGGACACCTGACATCATTGGTTGTCAGCGGTCCTAGCAACCAACAACTAAAGAGGAGGGGGCCTGCGCTGGGTTATGGCTTGCAGTGGATGCACCAGTCTTGAAGGGCAGTGCATCCACTGTCAGCTGGCCATAACTATGGGCAGTTTGGTGATTGGTCCGTGTCCAGACTGAGCCGGACAGGGACAGCCAAAGGGCCTGGCAGTAAGCTGCTTAGAGCCAAGCACTGCATCCTGTGAGGAAGTGGAAAGGATCAAATGGTCCCCTGTACCCAGCAGAACAGAGTATTTTTGAAAGCTCTAACAGATGTACAGAGTGACAGGTGGGCAAGGCAAAGGTGTCAGTAGGTTGGGGGTAGGTTGCGCTTATAAGAGAACCTGTCACTTTTTAATAATTACTCTGAACTGTGCTGGCAGGCATACCACAGGTGTTTTTACTGTATTTACAGCTGTGGTGACACACACAGATTAGTCAGTGAATGAAGGCCCCATCATTCACTTCTAGAGTAAGAAGGATGAAAATTACACATACAAAACCCAATTGTAGCTTTTTCCATTACTTTCCATCATTTAAATATGCCACATTTGAAATGTCCTAGCATTTGCAGAATGCAGTGCTGGTGTAGACTGAGAACCACTCCTTATTCCTTTTACTTACTCTGTGAGTTTACTTTAAACCCACCAAACATTGAACCTTACTTGACCTATATTGAACTATGGGCAATATACACTTTTGAAATTTATATTAAATCGTGTTTATCTTTTTTGAACAACTTTCAGCTGTGTGAAAGGCATATATCAAATTATTTTCTAAGGCGCAATATAAGGATAGACCTGCAACCAACAGAGAAGGTAGTCTACTATGTACACAGTTTCCAAAATAAGATCCCTATAGAAGGTCTATGTATTCAGACAGAAAAACACATACTTGTTCACAATTCAATAAGCAAACATGGCGAAAGCTACCACTATACATGGAAATTCATTCACAACCACAAAAGAATCACTGTTAACCGTGTTAATTTACAGTCACACACAATTGCAAGGCAAAGCTTAGCAGTAGGTGAAGCAGGGAGTCAAGGGACAATAGGTGAGAAGCAACAGTGGATCCCTGGGTAATAGGCACACAACAATACACTCAAGCAGTGTCAGATAACAAGGAACACGTCTGCAGGTGCATGGAATCCACAGAAACAGAATTGTATTGCCCAGCTCAGTGACATTTCAAACTGTGCTTTCCAGCACTTCAGCAGCGCCAGTTGGGTGCCCAGTGGACAGGTGTTGATAAAAGAAGGACTTAGATCCATTATATAGTTGGCTCAAATTTTGAAGCAAACATCATCAGAAGTTTGGGGTATTTGGAATCATCAGTTATTAGGAAATACTTGTATGATGGTCATATACAGGAATGAATGAAATGAATGCATTTGAGTGAAATTTCACAGGCAGGGGTACAACATAAGCATGTTAATATTGTTCAGATGAAGAGCACTGAATGTGCTGGGCCAAGCAAGAGGACAATCCAATCCATCAGCATGCATCTCCCCCCCACCAGCGAGAAAGAAAAAAGGGGGATTCAGGAATGTAGGTGCCTCCTCCAAACGGGACAGAGTCGACCTTAGAAGACAGAATATAAAATGTATGAAACGCTATTGGATAAACTAATCATAAACAACCTTTCAATTTGCTTATGAAATATCCCTGACGGAGCAGACATCCTCCCACATAGGCTATCTGCCATATAATTTACCCCAACTACTTTACTTTCATCTATCCTCATGAGTGTCATAGTAAATAAGCTAAGTGTGATCTTTTTTTCTTAATCACAAATGCAATTTTGGCTATAGAATTTTAGCATTTGTGTCAGCCTGGTGAATTTGTATCAATCCCGTTTGAGTTTGGCATTTGCAACAGCATAAGAAATGCTTCCAGCAGAGAGGAATGAGAAGCAGGTTAGTGAACAGCAATAATTCCCTGTCACCCAGTATGCCAGCCAGAGCTGTGGGTGATGGCCAGAAGATGTTCCCCTGAGCACACCTCCCCAGCAATCAGAGCTTTGCCCGGCGCTGGTGGTATTGAGAAGGGGGACTGTACCGTCCGGTGTGGCCTGATGACGGGGGGGTTTACATTTGATGTAATCGTGGTCAGTCGGAGTGGCTGTGTAAGGTGGAGATGTCAGACCTGGACCAGAGGAGGAAGGGATGGAATTCCCGGGGCCTGGCATCGTCCCAGCTGAAGAGTGGGAGTCTTCATCCAACGCACTATGCTTCTCCCTGATTTACAGGAATAAATGAAAGAAACTGATTAAACAACAGTTCATAGAACACAATAGCAAAAACCGTAATCAAAATGAAGAACATAGACACTAGCATACCCATACGTAGCCTAAACATTTACCCATATCTGTAAATATGTAATGTAAAGGCTGTCACATGCATACTTATCTGGGTAACCACATACTTCTCACTGGCTTTGGGTGTATTTTTCTCCTCTCCTTTGGCAAATGGCCCCTCTGAAGCTTCCTTCATGACAGTGAATAACATTTTATGATCCAGCTCATGGGCAGGTTTCTCCAGCAGTTTCAAGACAGATGCATGAAGACGGAAGTACACCTATTAAAAACAGTATAAATCTGTACAGGTATATATTATCTATGCACATATAACATTATGTCAAGGAAAAATCTGGCACCAAAATGAAAATGGCCCACCTCACCTGTCTGGCGTGCAGCAGGGAAAATCTTTGGTCACGTCAAGAGCTACAGGTGCCTGTGATATGACATTTCCAAGTGTGTCATATAACATGTCCCCTGCTGGAAGCGATAGCTCCTTCAGCCGACCCAGTACAGACTACTGTACTGCAATGATATGGGTTTTCAGCGGGAGAAAACAGCGAGCACCAAGGGAAACGATATCTATATTCACTCAGGTGTCAGACTGAAGCAGCACCTGTAGCTCTTGAAGCAAACAAAGATTACCCTTGCTGCCTGTCAGACAGGTAAATATTTGCCCTATTCTTTGACAGGGTGCCACTCACTGATGTTTCTCAGGATAGAAATAGGATCTCTTTAAGCCATCTCTTTTATTATACTTATAACAGGGCTCATCTCCAACCAGTTTATGACAGGTGGTCCCTATGTTGTAATAATTAAAATGCAGACAGTTCCCAGGTCACCAGAAGATGCCACCCCACTGGCTACAAGAAAATACTTACCTTTTTTATTCCCTTCACTTTAATGGTGAATCATCCTCACAGCACACAACCAACACAAGAACTGTGAACAGCATTCTAGAGGTGCATATGCTGTACCAAAGCCTTTACTGCTCCAACTGCACATGTACAGTACATTGATTTCTGTCAACAGTCCCTTGCTGCACTTGCACAGTTTGTCAATTGTTGCATAAATACCACTAATCCTTATGTAACCCCAGATGCTATGTATTCTTCCTTACATTGGTACAAATTTATAGAAAGAGAATAATCTACCTTTATTATTGTGGATCACCTTCTACCTATTAGGAAACATAACACCAACGAGCAATCAGAAGAAGATAAAAACGTTATCTATGTCTTAATGGCAGATAAAATTCCTTGCTGGTTCTATAAAAAAAGGCAAGATTCATTTCCTGGATCAATAAGCTCTGTAATGAGTTCCAATAATTATATCTGGAGATTACGTTTTCTACAGGAAAGATGTTCAGGCAACTTGCAAACAGCCATCACAATGTTGTTCAATATTATTTCCCTTGGCAGAAAAATCATAAACTTGACTACCTTCTAACGTATGTACCGTAGTATACACTAATGTACTACTACCTAATCCATGTTTTTAAATTGTGATAAATACATGTTTAAAAAGCAGCCAATCATTTTACATCACATCTTTATTAAAAAGAATTATATAATTGTATAATGAATTCCATGATGCAGTCTTAACAGCTACAAAAGACATCTACTTACCATACTTGATAATCAATGTGATTAGGATAAAAGGTGCCCATCCACCTGCTGATTATCGTACGATAATCGCGGGTGATCCCACGATCGTACAATAATCAGCAGGTGTATGGGCAGCGTGTGATCGCATCTACTGTACGGTCGCACAACTTTTGTCTTCCTAGCACGCTCGAAAACACGCGGAAAATCGTACGATTTTCGGCGGGTTGGTAGCGTGCTTGGAAGACGAATGCCGCACGGGCCGGTGTGCGCAAGCGCACACTGCCCGCTCAGCACTGCAATCATCGCAAGCCCTCTCCGCAAGTACGATCTGCCTGTCCAAGATGGGCAGATCGTACAAAATTTTAATGACCTTACAACCATCGCACAACGAAAGTCGTGTGATGGTTGTAAGGTGTATGGCCAGCCTAAGGATCTGCTCATGCCTCTACTAGCCAGACCTGCTACATGATCATGGTGATAAGGCTGAGTGTAAAAGGATCTGCTTGAGTACCTGCCAGTTAGACTTGATGCATGATCACTGTGATCAGACTGGATATAAAATGATCTATTAAAGTATCTACTTACTAGGCCAGCCACATGATCACTGCTATCAGGGCAGAAATATAACCAGATCTGCTCAGGCACTGCAAATAAATCCAGAACTTAATCTTAGCAGACAGCAGATAAAATATTGTGCCTTTGTTGTATTTGCATTAAAAAACAGACCATTACAGAGTACATAAAGTTTTGACCAAAATATCATCCTGGTCTGCAACAGTGGGACAAATGATTATCGGACTTTCGCAAAGGCTATAGTAGCCAAGTCGTTCCAATTCTAGAAGCTTGTTGATGTTATGAGGGGCAGGGGGGAAGTACGGTGCTACAGTAAAAATTATAAGTTTACTAAAAGCCCTGTGGGCTGCAGTCAGACCAATATTTTGCATACACCAAAAAAATAATTGCGCTACCTCTAAAGCCTCCATGGCCAGCTCTGGAGGATTGTGATAATGGATCTTCTTAGGATAATGAGCTGCTTCCTCATGCAGGTAATGTGCTGCCTGTTTGTAGTGTTGCAGATACTGCTCTGGAGCTGCTTTCTGTTTTTCACAAATCTTGCCCAGCATATAATGAATTAACCACTCTTCCTCATCGCCTTCTCCTTCACAACGAGAAGCAGACATGAAGCATTGCTTGGCTGTCTCAAGCATGCTGTCCCGACGTTCCTTCAACTACAGATACAAAAATTCAAGTCATGATTCAAAAGCAGCACAGCACATTGCATGCAAATAAAGAAAGACGCTCTCAGAGTACAAAGCACAGCTAATGCTAACCACTTCAGCACTCGCACCTCTGTACACCTTATGGACCAGGGAAATTATTATACTTAATATTTTATTAATCGATAACTTTGTCATTACTTAAGATAACAAAGTAATACATATGTTTATGGGACAAACAAGGCTTTCTTTTGGTGATATTGTCTTAAAAATTATATTATTTTCTATGCAATCAATATACAAAAATACCTTTAAAATACTTCAGAGTTAATTTTTTTTAAAATATAGTGTTACTGTTAATGAAGTGTACTTTTTTCTAGATATTTTTTAAATCGGATAGTTTTTACTATTTGTAGAGTCCGACAAATATGAACATATTGCAAAAGTGTAATTGTCAAGGCACCAGAGCAAACACCATCATACTTTATGTGATAATAAACCAAAGATAGCAATCAATAGTATATTGTGTACTAGGTCTTATTTCCCACACCCAATATCACTGCCCTTAACAGGCACTATCCAAGGCTGTGTGCTACAAACGAGCTAACTGGGTGGCGATATCTGTGGGGAACTCCAGGTAATTATCAATCCTTAAGCCACAAAGACCATATATTTCAGCACAAAGCCCTTTCAGTGTGTGGCAGTTTTTCCATCAAGAATATATAGAACATCCCTCAGAACCATTCCAGTATTGAAGCAACTTTGGACATCTCCATAAAACATGGATCAGATCTGCTTTATCTCTCCTGCACTTCATGCAATTAAAGTCTGTGCATAGCCCAATAGTAAATAGAAACTGGAGTGTGCAGTATGTCCTACGTAGAATGAACAATTACATCACACTATGACAGAGACACTTTAGGTATTGTACCAAGAATGTGCCTAAATCTTGTTGCCACCTGTATTTACTCCACTGAGAGAATTGCAAGACACCAGCTGGCTATAACAGACACCATTCCAACCTTAGCCTGTTGCCACAGAGGGAGACCCAGAGCTTAAACAGCTCTGGTAGCGAGTCATTAAACCATGGGGGGCGTTTACGCAGATTCCTAATGTCCAGCAGCAGTTTGGCAGGATTCCATAGTCTCACCTAAAATACACAGTAGGGCAGCTATCAAATGTTTTGACTTACCGGTTGATTTCCAATTGGAACCGTGAATTTCAACGCTGCAGATAATGAGAGATTATACAGTAGGAGGAACAGTTAACCCCAATATGAGTAAGGGTCATTAACCCTGATACAGGTTTAAAGATGAGCATATAAAAGTTGAGGCCATTTAAAATAGGTAGAGCCAAACCTCAAATTTCTTAAGTATGTCCCAAAGACAGAGCCAGATTACAATATCAAAGGCCTTGGTCATGCCAAAGCCAGCAGGGCTCTGTTAATCATGTTGTCAGGAGGGGTTTGTATGTTTAGAAAGATCCTGTAAATATAAATCGCTGCAGATTTAAATTTGATCAAGGTGCATTTTTTATTAAGGTGCATTATTATTAAGGTAGAAATTATCTTGACTAAATGCTATGACAACACCTTAGCCAGAATTTTAACAGCATTAAACAATGAGATTAGCCTGTAAGTCAGTTGTGAACGGATTTTTAGCCCTTCTTTAGCGTTACCAATATAATAGTGTTTGTCAATATAATATTGTTTGATCATATGTGTTGATAAGGACATAGTTAAAGGTTTTAAGCAGAATAGGGAGGAGCTCAGTTTTACATTTTTATAGATTACTATCAGTAAACCATAATTGCCTAGGGCCTTCCAATTTGGGAAGCTGGAAACAGCCTTATCCAAGTCATCATGCATAGGAGGGGGGCATCTAGGAAGGCCTAAGTCAAGTTAGGAAAATCAAGTGCCCAAAATGGTCTTTAGCTCCTCAGGAGTATGGCAGGTTTCTGAGGTAAACAAAAAAATGATAAAAATCACCAAAGGTCTCTAGAATGGCCAAGGTGTCCGATACTGATAGAATGTGGAAACTGGCAAGTTGAACTAGTAATCTACCTGTAGTTTCCTCCCTCAGCCCAGCCCACATTATTTGGAAAAAATGTTTATTACGTGCTTTTTGAGAGTACAGTCATTTGCAAGATGAGTAGCCTGCAAGATCAGCCAGACAGACTCCATAGCAGAGTTGGGGTCAGACAGCTAGGCTGCTGCTGCAAGGGCATGTTTATAGGCCTCCTCCTTTCTCCACCTACTTCCAGTCTTCATGCCGTTTACCTCCTTTATAAGAATAACTCTAAGAGGATTTCTTTTTAAAAATGCCTCATATTAAAACTTGCTAAGTGGAGGAATCATTGATTTGGTTAAAGGAAATGAGTTGGGATCAGAAATAGAGGTGAGAGGCAATCAAGGACAGCGAAAAAGATTTAATTTCCAATACCCTCTGATCCCTGGCAGTCTGCCATGATTCTCCTGCCACAGAACATAAGGGGAGAAGATCTGCAATTTTAGAGCTTCTGTTTTGAACTTTGTAGAATGATTTCTCCACAATGTTCACAATGTTTATAGCTATAGAGGTCATTGATTTCTTGTTTTAAAGTGCGTAGACTCTGTAAAAACAACCTCAGCTCTAGGAAGATAATACATGATAGCACTTTACCTGTCCCACCAGCTCTGGAGGCACATCTTTGATCAACTGTTTGAGCTGACGGGAAGCAAAAGAGTGCAGAGTATAGGACATTGTGCCATACTCAATCCACAAGGACAAATTAGAGCTGTCAATTTCCAATGCTCGCTTAAAGCAGTTTAGCACAGCAGTGGCATGTTTCCATATGGGGCCATCATTCTTCATATCATTAGAATTGAGTTTGTCCTGGATACGGCTTGCTCTTGCTAGGGCCATGCCAGCCCAGGAATCAAATCTGTGGGCACAGAAAAAGTGACGCCAGTATTAAAGGAAAAAGCCTGATAAGAGGAAAGAAACAATCAATAAACATTTACAGTATTTGCTAACAGAAAATGACAAGGAAATAACTGGAATTAAGCATTTATGTGTGCTTAAAAGAGAACTATGAGGTAACCTTTTTAGCCCATAGTTCTCTTTAGGGTCACAGGAGGACATATACTAATGTCCTCCCGTGACCCAAAGCTCAGAGGACTATTGCCCGCTATATACACTGAGAGCGCCACAACCGGGACGGATCCCGACAATACTATCGAGATCAACCCAGCTGGCTGATTGACAGCGGGCTCTGGCTATCTAGAGGTAGAGCCAGCTGTGCCCGCCCCCTCCCCCTTCTGTTCCTCCAATCAGTGCTGGAGGATCGGGGAGGGGGGAATCCATGCAGGTAGCGGTGACTAATAGTCACTGTTTTCTGCAGAGAGATGATCGGGAAGTGAGCGAGCAACGGTAGGTGTTCACTCACTTCCTGATCTATAGAGTTGACGTGTGACAGTTTCAATGGCACACGTCGGCTGTAACTATGAGGGTGAGTGTGAATCACTCACCTCATAGGTCTCCTTTAATAGGCAAATACAAAAACTCAACAAGATATCTGTCAAACAGTGTTGATCTGTAGACACACCTGTTGGGACAAATGCAGATGTCATGCATGTAGAATTTTATAGCTTTGGATTGCTCCTTGTTTTTAAAGTGATAATCAGCAAGAAGGTAATATATCTCATTCAGTATTGCAGGGGAATCATCAGCACCTTCTGGAAGAGCTGGCACCTGAAAGAAAGAGCAGATGCTAGTAAAAGAATTACCATAGTTTTATATTGTTTGTACCCTTGAGCTGTCTAGCATATACTCGATTGTACTCTCTTATAGCATACATGTAAACCTTATTAAAAAGAGGAAACAAAGAATCTGTAGTTGGTTGAAGAGTTTTATTTTATTGTTACTGTGTTTTTTTTATGCAAAATGTAATAAAAATTATCTTAAAGTGACATTAAAACCTCAGATTTTTTAACAAAAAACAATAGTGTAATGTGTGCCTTACTGTAATCCATGGTTGTTTCCCTTCTCTTTGCTGCTCTTCCTTTTAAATCCGTATCTCTTCTCATGCTGGGCAGAACTTCTGTTTTGCAGCAGACTGCCTTGTCTCTGGAATGGATACATGGTGTCTGTGTGCAGGTTCACAACCTGAGCCAGCACTACAGGAAGAGGCACTCAGCTGCAAATGGAAGTTCTCCCCCAGCATGAGAAGAGATAAGGATTTAAAAGGAAGAGCTGCAAAGAGAAGGGAAACAACCATGGATTACAGTAAGGCACACATTACCGTATTGGTTTATGTTAAAAAATCTGAGGGTTTAATGTCACTTTAAGAAAAAAAAAAAAGAAGAAGAAGAATGACCATTATTAGAATGTATGTACACCCTAACAATGAACTCCTCTTATTTTGTCCCTTTGAAGCTGCTAATCAAACCATTGAAATCATTTTAAAATATCTGTTCAATAAGTGTAAAAAATACCTGGTGATTTTGGCATAAATCTTGTGAGCTGATGACTTTAAGAGCTCTCTGCCTGTGCACAAGGAGGGCTTATGGAGATGAGGAGGCGGGAAGAGATATGTGGTCTGTGTTCTATGTAATTCGTTAGAAATGAAGTGATGGCATGGCCTACATCACGTGCTTAGGAATTCATAGCTGTGTTGTCATGTCAAAAAGGAAGGTAGCATACACTATATTTCTGGCACATCAACAGTAATTTTTCTGTACTTGGAGCATGTTTAAAGGGATACAAGAAGGGGAGGTGTGCATGTATTCTTCCAGAGCGGTACTAAATATATATTTATTTTTTGCATTGACATACAATTTAACTTACTTTACTGATAAAAATAAACCCTAGTATTGCCCCTTAACATAACACCTATCTTATTCAGGTAACCACTCAGAAAAGGATCCTCATACTGTTAACAGAACAGAAAGCTCATGTTAAATTGTTACTATACCTTGTTGCTTGTGCCATCAATATAAGCAGAGACAATGTCCATGCTCAACTTAGGCTTATCGGACAGAGGTTTAATCGTGGCCATCTTCTTTAGCAGGTTTGCTAGATCAGCAGAGACTGTACTGGTTTTGTAGCTATCAAATTCTGGAAGAGTCTTTGGTTTAAAGTACTCAAACAAGATAAGAGCATCTTCCCAAAGCAGCTCCACCTGCAGGAAGAGAGTGGTACACAAGTACTAAGCTGACAGATCTGTTAGGTATATTCTCATTCATATTCTCGCTTTCTCTCAATATATACACACACAGTATAGTGTCTGCACAACCGTGACAGAACCATTCATATGTTTCAGGTAGCTCTAAGGCATTTCCATGTTCTTTATAGCAATAAATAGTGCAAAATATTATGCAAGTTAGAATGTAAAATATTGGGCACATTTTAGAAATTCTATAGTAAGCTACACAAAGGAAGATGAATTTTTAAAAAAATTGGAGCACACAAAAGACGGTTTCGGAGGCAGGAGTTACTTCCTGGCAGTTGAGCTGTTATCTGCTGGGTGACCCAGCACTACAAGATCGGAAGATGTTGCAACAGAGAGAAAGGATGAGATTTCAAGTGCCAAAACACAAAGATGGCCAGATATAAATACCCCATTGTTTGATTGTGAACTGAGAGGCATTTTAGGGAGAGAGCCATTGCAGTATTTCCAAAATGTTTACAGGCGTGACTATTAGGGCCGGTTGACACCAAAAAGAGTGCATTCCAGAGTATTCAGCCACTGGAAAGCACTGGAACATAAACCGGTCGGCTCCCTGAAGTGCATGCAGCATTTTTGCAGATCGCACTGGACCGGAATGCAGACACTAAAGTGCAGGCAGGGGCGTGGCTGCAGTGCTATTAACTTCATAGCACCACCCCGACCCCCTCCCTTGAATGCAGGGAGTCGGCCGGTTTGCATTTCAGTGCGTTCCTGAGGCTGACCGCTCTGGAACGCACTCTTTTTGGTGTGAACTGGCCCTAAGTCCAGAACTAGTTAACTGCTTTAGAAGGAAAAGGCCTCTGGGTGTGGATGTAAAGGTGACTTATCTGGAGGCCAAAAGAACTCACCACACAGGTTTTAAAGTAGCATCTCTAAACAAATATAACATTCCTGCCTAGCCCTGTGCATCCAATCCAGTGGGATCTAGGTATGACACTCTAAAGTCAGGCTCAGGAAAGGACAGTCAGGATGCCTGCTATGTAGAGACCAGTTCAAGCAGCAATGTAGTCAGAAATTCTGAATTAAGTCAATGGTAGAGGAAATCCACAAAGAAAACAAGAAAAAAAAGCTATCAAAAACTGGTTAGATATTTCTCAGCAGAGCTGAAGAAAAAATGTACATCCTCCTAGGATGGCAGCAAAAAACTGAGACGTGATTGATAGAGGAGGCGTTATAATGGGGGCTGGCTTACAACTTTTTTGCTTGCTAGTGCCCAATCCAGCTGTAGGTGGCAATATAGTCCAAATATATCTGAATTCATGTGCCCTTCAATGAACGAGGAAAAAAAAAAGAGGTCAACTGTTGGAACAGATCACAGCCCTAAGTACTTTCCAAACACAGACAGTGGATAATAGATTAATCACTTGCTGACCGCGGTGTTAAACCCCCTTCCTGGCCAGGCCATTTTTCAGTATTCAGTGCTGCGGTATTTTAACTGACATTTATTTCGTCATGCAACGCTGTACTGAAATTAATTTTATAAAATTTTTGGGGACAGACAGAGGTTTCTTTTGGTGGTATTTAATCACCACTGGGGTTTTTATTTTTTACTATACAAACGAAAAAATTACCATAAATTTTGAAGAAAAAGAAAACAGTTTTCCCTACGTTGTGCTATAAAAAATGTATTATCCATATTTTTGGTAAAATATAAAAGACGGGGTCACGTCGGTAAATAGACACCAAACATGGCAAGCTTTAAAATGGCACGTGCCTGAGAAAGAAAAAAGTACCATACCCAAAATTTGCCATAGGTGACGCTTTAAAAGCTTTTACCACTCATTAGTTTAGTGTTAACAGTGATAGTTGGCTCTAAAATTATTTCTCACACTGAGACTTTCGCGGTGATATGTAACCCATATGCATAATACAACCAATCGGGCGGCTCTACAGCCGCCGGAATGCTTGTATGTAAACAGCCATCACTAGCTGTTTACAATATCTGGCCTGAATCTACCAGTAACTGGTTGACGACAATGAAAAATTTTGCAAACTAAAACAAAAAAGCAAAAAAGGTAAACATCCAGTTTCCTAAGAACACTAAACAAAACTTGCAGGCGTGATGGCGGAGGGGTTATAGCCTCTAGAGCAGGGGCGCCCACAATTTTTTGTGTTAACATCTAGGAATACAGATGTTCAATATTAACAATGAACTCAAAAAGCCCACATGCAGTATTTTTTTCAATTGCATTGGACCGCAACGCAGTCATTGTGGTTCCCGCGTTCTGGTGACTTCAATGTACCACCAACGCCCCCTCCGGGGGGAGTTTACTATGCAATACAGTGCGTTCCACCAGCTAACAACGCTGGAACACACAACTCGTGTGAACAAGCTCTAAACACCGTCCTTTGCTTTCTTTTATTCAGGCATTATCACGTCATTTATTGGACACTGCAGGCGGGCAGAGGCAGTCACAATGTGCCCAACTATGCAGGCTGAATGGGGCGGCCAAATATCTCTGCAGGTGGGTAGGGGCGGGCCAAATGTCTCTGGGGGTGGGTAGAGGCTGCAGACAGGGAGGGGAGGGCCGAATGTGTCGGATGCTTCAGCGTCCGACACATTCGGGCGCACTGACACAGCGGGAATGGAGTGCAGGACAGGGAGTTGACCCGCGATCTACCAGCATTAGCTTTGTGAACAACTGGTGGATTGCGATCAACCTTATGGGTACCCCTGCTCTAGGTGGCCTCTAGTTTTCTATATGCCTACTGCCTATTTCTCCTGAATTTAGTCCACAATTGAAAGAGGATGTGCCCAGAGCAGGGTTTTCTCAAGGAAGTATTATAAGCTTGTCAATTACTCTTTATGTGTAGTTTCCGTAAAACTGTTAACAGCACACTTTAAACAAATTACTGCATCACATAAAAACATTGCTCTAAATGCCACCAGCCTATGATGGCAGTCACCTGCTGAACAGAATGCTCCTCCAGATATCGAGCCTTGCTCTTTTTGCTTGGATACCCATACAAACAATAGAAGCACTGCTCCAGAGCTGTCTCTAGCTCCTCTTTGAAGGGATGGGCATCTTCATTGGTGGACGCTGCCAGTTCTTTCACAAGAACACGTACCTGTGTAAGTTGAAGGAAAAGAGGAGGTCCATAAAAACTACGATACCATAAATCTTTTATCCTAAACAAAGCCAATAGGTACATTTTACTAGCATGTTAATAGGGGATTTTCAAATACAACAAGAATACCCATTTGTTTGGGACCCATTTTTACAGAAAGAACTAAATGCAGGCACATCACAACAACGAAACTTGTGCGTCTGTTCTGCCACCCTCTTACATTTTGCTCTTCTAACGTTCAAAATAAAGTAGCCTGGTATGAACATGGACACAACATAAACATTGAGCTTTTCAATAAAAGGGTTGTCCTCTTTCTTAAAAAGCAGCGGGGTTGTGGAATGTTCTTCATTTAGTTTTGTTTTCTTTTTTTTTTTAAAAGGTTAATTTTATTTGACACTTTATGTGTTTTTGTACTCTACAGTCCATAATAGGTCACTATGTCACCCAGAAGAAGGGACCCTGCGTGGCCCCGAAACGTTGGCTGTTTGACACATGTGACGATTGAATAAAAGGTGCTTTACTTCTTGCACATATCATTGAGTGATGGTGACTTCTATTATGGACTGTATCTGACACGGCGCCATCCGTGTTGTCACTTCAAGCACCAACTTCTTACTTAAGGTCTGTATGCTGTATGGAGTGCAGGTGATTTCATATTATCGTTTGTACTCTACACACACACACAAAATATTTGTTTTACAGATGAATATTTATCACAGGGAACACACTTGTCATAGGATTCCCTGTGCAGTATTGGTTTTCTAAAGAATGCTATTTCCCTTTCTCGATAAAGGAAACATCAAGTTAGATGTAAATGAACACCAATCTATTTCTAGACTGTATACATGAATAACTTACATAGAATTTTAGGAGAGCTCCATCAGAGTTACAGCACCATGATCTTCTGCCCAGGTACTCATGGGCTGCGTTCAGCAGCATAAGGGAGGATGGAAGCATTGGAGTGCTTGAATCTCCTAGAAGAGACCTTCTCACATCAGAACCTGTCATAAAGAAGTACAATGGCTCTTTCTTTAATCACAGGAAACTATTCCGATATGCATATAAAAACGTTTTTAAAAAAAGTATGAACATGAAAACTCTATTTTGTACTCTTATTATTCAGCAGTTGCACTCCTAAACTTGCCCCAAATGTAGGTCTAGGTAATGCAGTGGTCTGTACCCATTCCATACGTCAGTAAAAATGAGGCAGAGCTTCACAACACAGCAAGCGGGGACATTTTTGAAACAATCTCAACAATTCAAATGTGTAGACAATGTAATCTCCACTGACACACTGGCAGCCTTAGTGTGCAGCGCAAGGACACTGACCCCGTATAAATGTATGTAGTGAAAGGACTATAAAAAGCTTGCGGTATACAGAGACGCCGCAGTATACAGCGAGCTACAGCTCGCGGTATACTGAGATGCCGCAGCTGAAGCGGATCCCGACAATTGTGGCGGGATCCGCCCAGCTGCGTGAGTGACAGCTGGCTCTGCCTATCTAGAGGCAGAGCCAGCTGTACCCGCCCCCTACCCCGTCCGTTCCGCCAGTCAGCGCTGGCGGATCGGAGCGGGGGGGGATCCAGTCCCTCCCCTGTCACGGCTCTCTGCCGTGACAGGATCGAGAAGTAACCGAAAGCCGGTATGTGTTCGCTCACTTGCCGATCTACTGAGCCGACCTGTGACAATGAAACTGAGGAAAGAGGAACTCTACGCACTAATTTAATATCCCCCAAAACAGTTACTTTTAGGGCATGCCAACCGTCAATGTTGTCAGTGTGCTTATTTCAGCTCTCAACCAAACTTTCAAGCCCTCAAATAGCTTTCTGTCATAACTGATCGGATGTGAAGCACCATGGCAACTGCAATCCAAATAGAAGCTACGATGGCACCTTACTTGGCTATAAAAGGTATATGAGGTTGTAATTCTTCTGCAAGCACAGAAAAGTACTTGTTCTTTCTGTCAGAACTCCAGTGTCCTTATCACTTCCTGTTCACTGAACAGAAATTATCAGTTTTCTCAGCTATCTACTGTGAACTACAAAGTAACGCCTCTCTATGTAATGGAGACGAGGAGAGGGAATGTGTTTGTAGTCCAGATTAGTAGATACTAATTACCTTTTACTAATTTACTGCTTGAAAGCCAGATTGATTCTTCCTTATTTCTTTCTGACGAATACAAGCAAATCACTAGTAAAAATCTGTCTGGGTATCAACCCAGTCTCATGACGTGCTTGCATTTCCTGTAACTTTTTTATATGGAGAACACAATGTTTAACACAGAGATTTAAACATTACCTTCCTTATCATCTGTTTGTCCATGCCGCTGACACATTGAGCGGAAGTTATCCTCTTCGTACTGGATTATTCTATGGAGGATAATCCAGGGCAGGACAGAGGACACAGACGGCTCCTTAGTATCCTCCTGTGCAGCCATACTGCAATCTATTAACTGAAGATAGGGACAAACATTTATTTAACATAAGAAATGTCATTGCAACTGTCTTATACACTCAGATGAGTCCAAAATGTATTTTTTCTAATGCAGGGAGAACTAAAAATACAAAGCTGAACTTCAGTAAAGCAGCCGCACACATAGTGGAAACACATATATGTGAACAGTATGACCTGCCAAAGGATTTGTTTATTGGTTTAGCAATTCTTGTGATTTACAAGATTTAACACTTTACCACATTGCATAGCCAAGAGGAAGCTGGCACTACTTTCCTCCTCAACTTTATAGCTTTTTGCTTAATTGTCCACTTCCACTCGGCTGGAGGCAGAATTCATAGAGAATGGGTTTTTGTAGGGATCACAGGCAGAATATCACAAAAATCCTTTGACAGGTAAAACAATTTACGTGTTTATATCTTAATTGGTTATTTAGCTGTTTGCTTGGGATTCTTTCCAAATACGGCATATAAGGATGTATTTATAAAATGTTCACAGAGCGAACAGCTCTGCAAATGTCTGAGTATTAGATTTGCAGTGCATTATGGCCACTAGGTGGAGCAGAGTAGAATATACATTTCCTATACTCCTTGGATCAATCTAGTGGTTATAATGCACTGTAAATCCAATACTCAGACTTTTGGAGAGCGAATGCTCTATAAATACACCCTTAAGTAAGTTTGTTGAGTCTATTTTACTTAATTAATGCTCTCTGTAGGATACTTTGACAAATTGCACAATGTTTCAATGGTTGCAAATCATTTAGAAATAATGAAGGCTAAAAAAGGGGGCAAGTTGTTTTATTGGTGAAATGTACAATCACAGCTTCAGGTCCAAAAGACACAGGCCGTGTTCAGTTAGAGGGGCACCCTTTACCATATTGATAGGTTCCCAGCATACTACAACAATAGGAATCCTACAAATTACATTTGCAGTGATTCTATCAGGCCCTATTGACAGCACAATATGTGTTAAAATTTAGCTGGATACCATCGGAGGTCAATACACCCAAACAGTTTATCAAGTTCTGCAGCAATTGTACAGCCACTACTCTTGTAACCTAGGATAGCTAAATGAGCAGGCCCTGACAAAAGCAAATTATTAGCTTACACTCAGTTTTAAAACATGGTAGTTGCACTTGCCATGCAGATAAAAGTTTTGTATTTACTGTATTTTAAACCAAAAGAGCAAAGTTTTGACAGGGATGGGTCTTTGACAAGCCGTTAGAGCAATGGTGCCCAGAAGGTCGATTGCGATCTACCAGTCAATCGCAAAGCTGTTTTTGGTAGATCGCTATTGCAAGTTGGAATCAGCTGCTCAGTTTATCTGGGTGCTCAGCTGCTGGTGGCCAGGTGCAGTTTGCCGCGTTGGCCAGCGGGTGGCGCTGTGTCCTGGCACAGCAGCTGACACTGAAAGCTGTGGCTCAGCATGCAGCTACTCTTGGGGAATCCGAGAGCCGATCCCTTGGGGGACACAAGTCCTACACAGGCCTGGGCAGGGTGAGTGGTGGTCTTTATCAGAGGGAGGGGGCATTGTGTACCACAGCCTGTGTTATCTCTACCCACTGTACACAGCCATGTACCCCACCTAACAGGACTGTGCCCCCACCTACACGCCATGCCCCCACCTAACAGGAATGTGCCCCCACCTACACGCTATGCCCCCACCTAACAGGACTGTGCCCTCACTTACAGACTGAGATTAGGAGCGTTAGTTTTTTTGTTTTTTTATTATAGGTAATAGATTTTATTTGACCTTTACAGGTAATAGTCCCATAGTTTACCTCCTCTGATAAGAGTGCTAGGTCTAACTAAGGGGCCATTCATAATAGTACAGTGCGTACAGTTAGTATTGGTGCTCGGATGCTATCCAACACTTCCAAGTGTGTAGCATAAGATGAGACTGGAGGCTGTGGTCCCAGCTAAGACATGTGTCACCACAGAACACAGTAGTGATGTATTGACCTGTGGGAGGGACCCCAGTGAACAACGGGGAAGAACAGGATTCTTCAGCAGAGTGAAGAATTACCAAACTGCCCACTGGACAGAGAAGTATAAACCTTCTTAAGGCCCTATTCACACTGAGCGATTTGTCGAGCGATTTTTGCAGCGATATCGCTCATATTTCCACGCGATATCGCTCTATGTAGCTTCTCCAATCCATTTCAATGGAGCTGTTCACATCTCGTCGCTCAATAACGCTCAATATCGCCTGTAGCTCCTACATGACCCTTTTTTCGAGCGATTTCGCTCCTGATTGCATACAGCCCAATAGGAAAAAGTCGCTCAATATCGCTTGGTGTGAATGGGGCCTAAATGGGGCAGCTTTGTTAAATATCTGTTACTATGGTAACAAGGTTGCTTTAAATCAATATTGATGCTTATAAATACAGTTCTTGTGTAACAAATAGACATTTAATACAACAAAAGGATCCCAAGAGAACTATGTGTTAGCTGAACAAACAGCACAACAGAAAGAATTGCCTTTCATGCACAATATTTTTTAAACTTAGGGCTGAGCTGTCTGGTAGTTTGAGTAAATTTAATTTGCCTAGTCTGAGTAAATTTCATTCAATGCTATTTATCTCAGTGGACAGGCTTTTTCATAACAAGTGCTAAAGACCTGTGAAAAGAATCCAAGAGCTCCATCTGCCGAATGGATCAAAAACAAGATAATATTTTATGCAATATTTCATATGAACCGGTAAAAAAATACATTTACATTTTAACGTTTTGGCTTTAGCCTCTTTTAAAGTCCTGACCATACTAAATGAAAATAGATAATATAGTAAAAAAAGAACAGCACTTTCTTTTCAATTGCACAGATTTGCTGCTTATTTGAAAATGTTGCCTTTCTCTGTATTCGTATTGCATATGTTAGACATACTTTATTGATTCCAATGCAGAAGCATAGCCTATGTGATTTTCTGCCTAGCGCATCTCTTCTTGGTTACCTGTATGAGGTTGTTGCTGAGACGCACAAGACGTGAAGTCAGTGTGGGTCTCTGCAAAATACTGCTGTCAGATGATAAAGACAGATCGATCCCCGAGAGTAACTGTGTTGCTGTGGCAACCCATTCCTCCTTAGCTGAGCCAGATGTCGGGCTCATCATATGTTGAATTGCTTCATTCAGTGCAACCTCTGAACACTCAAAACACTGTTTGAATTCTGAGAGTTTCAGTAAGGAATCCTAAGATGAAGAAACAAGGGTGTCAAGTCATAAAAAAAAAAAGATGTTAGTATTTAATCTCCTCTACAGTATCTGCTCCATACAATTGGATAGGAAATGTTATTCAGCCAACTGGAGGCAAATGTTAACTACAAATTTACAATCCACTTTGATGATTGAATTCCACAGTTCTTTAATGATTCTGATCATTTGTTAAAGTACATGTAAACCCAAATTAATAAAACCTTGTATACGCTTTATCATAAAAAGTCATTTTCAATATTTTAAATCTGAATCTTCTATATAAAAATATATCCGGTAAGGCTTATAAAAAAAAAAAAAAAATAAGATTTTGCATTTATAGTAAAATCATTTTCTTGAAGTCCTTGACTTCGGTAATTCTTAGAAAACTGGGTTATACTGCTGCCTTCAGGTTAGGATATTGGCAAAGTAAAAAAAATGTTAACCCTGCCCCTATATAGCCCAGCCCCCGTATAGCCCAGCCTCCAACCAGCATTCCTCAGTTTTGTGAGCAAGCAGTACATAAGGGAAATAACACAGAGGGGCAGGACCTGTGTTCCCCAATGAACTTCAAGACCAACTGTTCAAAAAACGTCTTTGCTTTAATCACCCATTTGAGGGCTGAAGGACTTTAGCAATTCTTAAGCAATTGGGATGTCAAAAAGCAGTCCAACGGAGGGGTGGACAGTAGCCGCTGAGAGATGCGCCAGATGTGAAAAATCATATTATAAAGAGTATATGAATGGATCAACATCTGAATGAAGGTTAAAAGAACCAGGGCCAACCAAAAATTGAACTGCCAGGACTTAGGGGAAGGGCACCAAGGATCAACCTACTGCTCCAGATCATAACAGGTTTATTACCAGTAAGAGGAACAACCAATCTTCCACCATAAGAGAAACAGGTGGAATACCAAACTACTTAACAGGAGGGGAAAAAAAAAAAAAAAACACTTGGATGAACAGCTAAGGTGGGTAACAAGAATTAATTATTACTAGGGTAAATGCCTCAACCTATCCCCTGACTTTAGTCAAAGGAAGCCTGGATAGATAGAGCATGTTAGAAAATAAACCAGCCAGTCAAGTGACAGAGCCCTAAAAGGAACCCCCTAAAGCAGGGATGTCCAAACTGCGGCCCTCCAGCTGTGGTGGAACTACGAATCCCGTGAAGCGTCTCTCTGCGGGAGTCATGTCCATGGCTGTGAGAATCTTGCAAAGCCTCATGGGATTCGTAGTTCCACCACAGCTGGAGGGCCGCAGTTTGGACATCCCTGCCCTAAACCCTTCACTTCAGAGAAAGGGGGTCCATAAAAGAAAAGATGTTACCTGATAGACAAGTCATCTCTAAATGAGACATGCATCATTGAAAGAGAGAGTCCTTTTCAGAATATGATCCAAATGGAAAGAGGGAAAGGAAACATTAAGCTAGAAAAAAAGAAGGGTAGTAACCCTGAATCCTTTTAAAGGAGAGAGTAGAGTGATCAACAACACCTGTATAAAAAGGGGTAGGGCAGGGGTGAAGATATACCACAACACAAACTGGCATACAATGATACCAAGATCAGAAGGATGAGAAAGAGTCCTTCAAACTCACATCCATGTTTTTGGAATGTGATAGCCAGACTATATACTTGACTGACCAATAATGAAATATATGATTTTAGAAACCATCTTGTAAAGGGAAGAAACCTTGATAGAGGAACTAAGGGTAGAAATCATAGTATGAACACTAGGAATATTAGCCCGATAGAGAATGGGAAGAGGAATAGATATAAGGAGACTATCTCAGAAGACTGCAGCTTTGTCATAGAAGAGGATCGACCTTCCAGTAACCAGGTCCCACTAAAACATTCGGACTTACACTATCCATCTTTAAGAAATACTACAGCAGGGCAACAGTGTCTTGCCTGCTGACCCTACGAGGAAGTATGTGACTTATTAGCAAGGGATACTCCCTTGAAAAGGAAGAAAGCAGGTATACTCATGTGTAGAACCCTAACTGGTAAAAGCGGGAAGCAAAAGACACAGGCAGTGTTCAGGTAGAGGGGCATCCTTTACAATATTGATGGGTTCCCAGCATACTACAACACTAGGAATCCTACAAATTAAATTTGCAGTGACTCTATCAGGGCCTCTTGTGTTAATATTTAGCTGGATATCATCTGAGGTCAATACACCCAAACAGTTTATCAAGTTCTGCAGCAATTGTACAGCCACTACTCTTGTAACCCAGGGTAGCTAAATGAGCAGGCCCTGACAGAAGCAAATTATTAGCTTAAACTCCGTTTTAAAACATGGTAGTTGCACTTGCCATGCAGATAAAAGGTTTGTCTTTACTGCAAATATTTATTAAAGGTCACCAAAGGTCACCCAGCCCCCCACAACAGCCTCCTAGAACGCTAGCAAAAAACTGAGGCATGATGGTTGGAGAAGAGGCTATACAGGAGCTGACAATTTTTTTTTGTTTGCCAGTGTCACAGTCTCCTGAAGGCATCAGTTTAGCCCAATTGTCTAAAAATTACTAAAGTCCTGTGTCCCTCAATAGACGATAAAGAAAATGTTTTTCCTTTATATATACTTTAAAAAAAGGTAAAAGTCAGTTAATCACAGTCTTCACTGACAAAATCATATGAAAATATTGTATATACTGTAATGGCAAAAGTGTTGCCATTCCAGAACGTGAAATGTTGCAGATATGGGAGTGTAGAAAAGGTACCGACAGTGTGAGCAAAACAGAGGGGGAGAGAAGTTTTTATTACTTTGTACTTTTTTTTTTTTTTTTAACTGCGGTGACAGGTTTTCATTATAGAGATATCAGGCGGCCGTTAGAATCCTAAAGCCTTCTCTGTGTACATCACATACAGTTCAGGAACAAAAAGCCCTTGATCTGCATCTGAGGTGACTCAGAATACCAGCAAATTGAAGGCAAGAGCCTGGAGTGCTCTCTGGCTGCTTGCTGCGACTATGTGCTATGTCCATATTCTGTAACTAAGTATGCAGCATCGGATGTGAAGGACTGAGTACTGTACTGTACTGAGAGTAAGTGTCTGTAAGCACCGGATGACAACAAAGAGGGAGTGAAGCTGGCACACACAAAGAAAATGTAACATTGCAAAAAAAAGTGAAAGGAGGCAGTGCAACTGTGCAGCACAGGAGACAGAGGAGTGCTGTATGAACAATGATTGTTGTAAATTTGACTGTATAAAAGGAAGTTTAATTACTGTTGCCAGGGAACAGGAGGTGCTCTTCTGCAAAGAAGAGCTGGAAAGGGTGAGTGAGATGGAAAGACCAAATAGGTAGATGGGAGTATACTCACTGAGGACCCAAAGCTAAATTGTTGCAAGAGGCCAGTGCTCTGTTGTTTCTATACAATACATGGTAGAAGAATGATTGCTCTTTACTGGAGTGGCATGGATACTGGGAAGTGAGATGTGTGTTGGGGGTAGGATACAGAGGAAAGCAGAATGAGTGCAATGGGGGTGGGATCTCAGTAGGCTAAAGTCATAATGCCCCATATGAAATTGAAACTGTCACTTAGCTTTATTAATAAATAGGATATGATTTGTGGCACATACATAAACACAAGTGTTAAGCCTCTCTGATCCTTACAAAAGGTAAGAAAGCTATAACAGGTCACCTGCATAAGTAGCAGTTGGGCAGGCCGTTCAGGAGGTGATGTCATGAAATCAAGGTGTTTAGTCTGGCTATAACCACTCATACACAATGTAGGGCACACTAGCCGAACCACAGATGAATAGTCCCCTAATTCATGTAATCGTTGGATCTCCTCCAGGGACTGGCATCTCTCCAAAGACTTCAGACTATTCTCAATCTAAAAAGACAGAAAAAGATCTGTGAAAAACCAGAAAACAGCTGCAATTGTCACAACACACATATTTACATTTTTTTTAAAAGAACATTTATAATCTTCACATTACCTTAAAAGCATAAACTGCACTACAACAGAAACAGAATTCACAGAGCAACTGCCTAGCTGAACACAGAGAACTGTACTTAGCAGTCAGCAGAGGTGTTATAGGAAGCTTTCAGAACAGATTTGGAAGGTATGGTTTAATAATAAACTGATTTAAGTTGCTGCTTTAAACACCATAAAAAATAGGATTTTGTTCTTACAGTAAAATCCTTTTCCCGGAGTCCATTGAGGGACACAGCTGTGAAGAATTCTGAGACATAGGATTATGTTGCTGGCTCCAGGAGAAATGGACACTAGGCAAAAAAAATTAAAAGCCTTCCACTTTAAAGGACATAACCCCTACCACCTCACATCTGCCAGCTGTAACAAGCAGTGTGAAAGGACATTAGGGGAGGGAGCTGTGTACCACAATGGACTTTAAATAAAAGATTTTACAGTAAGAACAAAACCCTATTTTCTCTATCTTCCATTGAGGGACACAGCTCTGAAGACTTCTGAGACATAGGGACATTCAAAAGCAGTCCAAAACAGGGGTGGGGGGGGGGGGGGGCACCCAAAAAACAA